AGAGTATCCAATTCAATTTCGAAAACTGATCTGCTCTATTTCCAGCTTTCCGTAAGCGGCCCGGGCTTTTTCCAGCCGTTCAATTGGCCCCTCACGTAGTTTTTCTTCTGAAATTTCGAATAGTATATCCAAATCCTTTGTTTTCGATTATCTTAATAAATCACTTAATGAAGTAGATTATCTTTCCCATTCATTGCAAAACTTCCCATTGAATCCTTCCCGAAACCAAACAGAAATCTTTCGATTCATTTGGCTTCTCACGGCTCCATTTTTTTTTTTCAATACTTATGGGAAAATTCCATATCTTTTTTGACTGAAATGAGCCTATCCTCTCTTCTTTTTCATAATTCAATTCCCAAAAAAAAAATATTGAAAAACTAATCACTAATCCAAGACCGGAATATTCGGAGACTCTTCTGACCAAACAGTAAATGTTGGTTCAGTAAAGTTGTTTTCTTTTTTTTTTTTTTTTTCTTCAAATTCAAATCCAAAGAATTTACTTTAATGCATAAGGTTATCGACCCAGCATTGAATAAAGAATGGGCGAAATACCCATTAAAAAAAAAAGGGGTTTCAAATTCCTTTTTTCGACATGAGTGTTCTATACCGAAAACTATTTCATTTATTTTGAATCCATTTCATTTTTATATTAACCATAGTAGTAGAAAGAGTACCTTGCTGTGTTTAGACTTCAAACAATTTAGCTTTAACCATGTTAATGGTCCCACGTTATTGATTGATAGTTTTGATAGTAAAATAGTTATTATTATTATTATTATTATTATTATTATTATTATTTGGAATAAAACTAATTAGTAATTAAAAGGCTATAAGTATATTTCAACATTATAGTAATTATAATAACAATATTACTAGGTAAAGTATAAAGTTTAATTATAATATCATTAAAGAATATGCATATTAGGTTATGTTATGAGATAAGTTGATGCCTATATGGATTAGAAGCTTGTATTCTTAATTACTGCAAACTCTGTCTTCCTAATTTGTGTAGGACTCTATCTCTTTCTTCTTAATTTGTGTAGGACTCTATTAGTGTTCCACTCATGTAACTATTATATGTGGTTTCTCATCAATAATATATATACTCTCATATTCTCTCATTATTCTCTCTATTCTCCCTTTATTTCTCTCTCAAATTTTATATTATTTTATAACACATTATCAGCACCATTTCGTTCTACCACTCTCATGAAAATGATAACTTATGATTTGCAACAATCAAAGTTAATATTGGTGTATTTTAATTTGTTCAAGTTTAAAGGTATGTTTATTTTGAATCATTGCAATAGCAAGATTTGTTGAGATTAAATATAATAATCTAATCTTACAATCTATTAGATAATCGACATAATTAATCAGTATACAAACATTATTAATACTTGTTTGATTATATATTTTATCCCAATTTGGGATATATATGAAATTTTTTTTTTTCAATTGGAAATCTTCTAAATTAAGATTGTTTCTTATTAAAATATTCAGTTTAGAATTTCGGTACCCTGGGTCTCCGTCAATTTGCAAAATCAAAATAATATATCCCTTGTTGCAAATATTTTCTTAAAAAAAAAAGGGGTTTCGATTGGATTAAGAAAGGGGGAAGGAAGAAAGCGAGTTTAATATACTAATTCCTCATGACCCTCAATCAGTCATTCCCGGTGGGTATTGTCCGCCAATAAAAATAAATAAAGTATTATTGTAGGAATGAATCTTGATATAATTCGAAAAAAAAACAAAGCAGCAAGTCCAAGGCAATAAAAAAATACGTATTTTTTTTTTTTATATTTTATAGGTAACAAAAGATTCCGGCACGCAAATAAAAGCGCTAGTGCCACAACCAGTCCATAAATTGTTAAAGCTTCCATAAAAGCTAGACTAAGCAATAAAGTACCTCGTATTTTACCTTCTGCTTCTGGCTGTCTCGCAATACCTTCTACAGCTTGTCCTGCAGCAGTACCTTGACCAACTCCGGGCCCAATAGAAGCAAGCCCTACGGCCAATCCAGCAGCAATAACGGAAGCAGCAGCAATTAGTGGATTCATGATGAGTTCCTCGTGTCAAAAAAAAGAAATGGTTAAGGATACAATCAACCAAGAAATTCATATTTCTAAGCTCTATTGGACAGAAGTAACTAAAAAGTACAAATTGAAACGATAATCTGAATTAAATAAGATTTTCATCCAGTTGAAGTAATTAGACATTTTGAATTAAAATAGTGATATTATTGAATCATTAGAACTACTACAATATCTATTTTTTAGTTGTCCATAAAGCTTCTATGAATCCATACAATTTGTTTTTGTTTTTCCATTTCTTTCTATGTTCCGAATTATATTTTGAATTCAAACTCCTCGTTCTTTTTCTTAATTTAATCTCTTTATTCAATATTCCATTCACAATTACAAATAAAAAGGCAAAGACTTCTCTTGGAATCCTTATCTAAATCTCCGGTAGTGGATAGATATGTCTTTCGAACCATATCATATAATATTGGATAATACTTAATATTACATATACACGTCTTCCTTCCATAGAGTAAACCAAATATTTGTATCTTAGATTCAATCGGATTATAAAATCAATTTTTGATTTTGAAAAATATTCAGAAAAGGAAAGTTGCCTATAGCTATTATATGTATTACATACACCTAGTTTGAATATATTACATGCATCTAGTTGGATTTCACTTTACTAAATAATCCATCTTTTCTGAATCTATTTTTTGTAAATTCTACTCTTCCTTATCATTATGCCACATGGATACAATCAATTCAAATGGCTGTATTGATTGGTTTGAATCATTGCACAGAACATAAAAGTTTTCGGTTGTGCTTGATCTAAGTTCCTATAATTTATTATTTATTAAAATTTAAAATTTTTATTAATTATTGAATTGAATAAAACGATTGAAATAAGAATCACGCAATAGGACCTCTATATTTAATCACACATTGTAAACAAATAAAGAATTCTTGTTCAGATTATTACTTCTGAGCTTGGAATTGAATGAACAAAATAATCAAGACAATATAAAGAATGAGAATATTCATTGGAAGAAGGTATAAACGATCCAAAAGAATTGTAGAAAAAATATATTTTTTCGATATCTTTCCTTTTTTTTTTTTTTTACAGTTCCCTAATACCTAAATTATTATTATTATTATTGTTATTATTATTCCTTTAGATTGTATAAACCTTTCTGTCTGTTTATATTGATTAAGTAATTTAAGTTCATTATAAGTAGATTATTATGAACAAGGCATATATTGCCTTGCACTAAGCTATTTCAAAATTAATAAATGATGTCTCTTGGCCTGTATAAGGTGCACCCAAAGTTGCAAAAATAAGAGCTTAAATACTTGTAAATAATCTAAGGAAGACGACAGATATAGCAACCACTGAAGGTACTTCAGAAACAAGAACAACAACTACTAATTGGTTAGGTAATATATTTTCAAAAATTCGAAAGCTAAGTAATAAAGATTTTGTGAAATCTTGTAAAATGTTAATGGGTAAAAGGATTGAAGTTGGCTAAATGTATGCGCTAAAATAATCTTTATTTTTTTTTTTCTAAGGCCTGTATAAAAATATGCTATCAAGTAAGTAAAGTTAAAGCAATGGTAGTATTTATATCATTTGTGAAGTAACTCTGATTTTCAAGGCAAAAGCGTCTTCCCCCAATTAGAAATAAAAATGACCGAATTTATAATTTTCACAAAAAATCTTATAGCATTCTCAATTTTTATTTTGACCCGTTAAACATTTCAACTTATAAAGTTATATTTATTAAATACATTATTTGACGAACACCTCACGATTGGATCAATTAAACATTAATTGAAAAATTAAAAAATGTAAAATTATTATTGCAAAACTTATATTAACCACATATCAAATTCATATTTTACATATAAAAGCCAAAAAGACCTTTAAATTTACTATTTTTAGTGTAAGAAGGTATAAAATTATTACAAAAAATGATGTATAAAAGCCACAAGGTCGATTTTATAGTTCAGGACGGCACAAAATTTTTTTATCAAAGTTTAAATTATGTATTCTGCCAAACAAAAATAAATTAAAAAATATTTCCAATAAAAAGGACTCATGGGCCATATTCCTCTCCAGTCTAAAGTTTTACTTACATCCCAAATGAACTCAAGGATATATTCGAAGAAATTCTACCCTCCAATCGGAATGGTTTATGGATTACCGACGAACAGCTACAACGGCTGAACCAAATAAGATAGTAATCACAACCTAAGAACTAATAAGTATTATAACATGGAAACCTCCTATTTTCCAATAAAAACATTGGCCTACTTCCACACCGGATGCATCATATATCCCTTTTATGTATTGATGGAGCATGATAGAACATTCGTATTGCCCTCTTAAAGAAAGAAAACTTTAGAAGGAATTATTTTGATTTAACCATCTTTTTCTTTTAGACTTGCTTGCTTAAATTATATTTTTTAAATACAATAAATCACATAATATACCCAATTATTTTTATCTCTTTTGTACGATTCCGGAAAGTAACCGATTCCATGAATTATGGAGGTCACAAAATAATTTATTTATCTTATTATTAATTTATTAATAGATCTTATTGATTATTGAAATTATTGAGAGAGCAACTCACCATCTTGCTATTGGTGAGTTGCTATCTCAGCTAAGTGATTCTTCTTCTACTATGGAGGATCCTAATATTTGGAAAAAGGTTTGGAGGTTATGAATTCCAGTTAAAGTTAGACATTTTCTGTATCATGCTATGAAAAATCAAATTCATGTGCTTACTACTCTAATTAGTAGAGGCATTGATGTGGATCCTGTTTGTGGTATGTGTGGCTGTGATTATGAATCAGTTTCAGACATAATAAAGGATTGTGCTTTAATAAGAAGAGTTTGGCGTCTGTGACCTCTACACCTAGACTCAAATCTCTTTACTTAAGCCATCCTGAATTTGGTTTAATACTACCTTGTTGTTCTAAAAATAAATAAGGCATATTTTATTAACATAATTTAGGATTTCACTAGTTTCACTTTTTTGTCCTCGGGTGAGCAAAAATTAAAATAGATAGACTCAATTAACACTTACTAAAGAAAGAATCTTTAATTAACTAGACGCTCAAAGTTATGGGCCGAGATGATATATCCCACCGGCTAGCAATGCAACTAGATCAAGTCTACAAGCTCTGGACTCTGAATCCATCAAAACATACATCTGCAACAAGGGGTGCATGGTTTCTGATGAGATTCTATTTTTGCATTAAATTCTATTTTTGCAATTCTTCAGTTTCAAAGATCAAAAATTGAGAGTCAAAGAGATTTCTGATCAAAGAAATACTTGGACAAGAATGCTCTGATGCAAAGCAAGATGAACCTATAAGAATGAGTTCTTGCAAAGAAAAAACAAAGCACAAGAAAGGAAAACAATGAAACTAAAAGATAGGAAAACCACAAATATAAAAAACAAACTCAACATAACAAACTACACACGGAGACTAGACTTGTATGTGCTGATTGCCACCAAAATGGGGAATAATTCTCTAACCACTTTAACTTGTAAACTTTTGTATTTTACACAATTTCTAACATAAATAAACTTTGATGTTTAGTCCTTTATTTATTTAAAAACTATATCCAACCACATGGAAACTACAAAACAAAGCAAGACAAACTCCATTGGAGTTTTGAATTTGAATTGAACATCTCTAAATCATAGCTATATCGATCTGTTTGCTTGATTCATAATTTAAATGCATTATTAGGATTTGTTTTGTTAACTTCAGAATTAAAACTGAAATTAAAATGACTACCTAAATTTAAAAATTCTTATACTTGAAAAAATTACCATGTAAATATAAAATAAAGTTATTCAAACAAAAATGGCCTTTAGTATGAAAAGAGAGAGTAATTAGAATTCTAAACCCATAATAAACCTCTGTCCATAAACAAAATATATTCATCTAACAAATTGTATATTATATCCCAAAGCTCACCAAAAATTGAGATTTCAGAAGCTAAAAAGGGAACACAACCAACAAAACTTGAAATACCTTCTCCTCCTTCCTTCTTCTTTACCAATACTAAAAAGACCAAAATTCTTGAGCAAAGCAAAATTTGGGATATCTTTTAACACTCAAAAGAAACAGAACCCAATAAAGACAAAATGAATTAGAGTCCATACCAGAGGCAGAGGCAGAGGCAGAGCTTACTGCTTCCAAAAGAGAGAGTCCTCTCTTAATTACTTGATTAAATCCAATGTTAACTTAACCTGTTCATGAACCAATTCCATCCTCTGCACAAACAACTCTAGTTCAGCTTCTTTCAATCTTTTCCACTTCACTTCCAATTCTTTCAACTTCCCGTCCTCAATCAACCCCAACTTCTCTTTCAAAATTATTTTTAATCCCGCAGATAGCCCTAATAATTCAAATGAATCCTTTAAAAACGGATAATTCTCCTCTAAAATCTCACTTTTCTCTTCAAACTTCTCTTCTCCGTTATTTTCTTCTTCATTCAAAACCTTGAATGGCTTTCTAACTCTTAGATCATGCCCCCTCCCACTCGGCAACGCCAAAGTAACGCCAGTGCTGGTGCCAGCAACGGTGGCGGCAGAGTTGTTATTAGCTTTGCCACTCTGGTTTACATTTTCATCCCAGACTTTCTTCGAAAGCTCGAAGGATTTACTATCATGGAGTTTAGAGAAAACCGGGACTTCGCCATTTTCGCTTCTATCAAGGTTGTTTTGGTACTTTTTCTTTAGCCTTCTGATTTTGTCTATGAGCTGATTCTTCGACACATCGACATGGAGGGACTTCTTAATGAAGTCATGGAAGGCGCCCATATCGGCGTAAGGATCGGCGCCTTTTTCGAACTTGTACTGACTCAACCCATGTAAGATCGCTATCTCATCGTCCTCGCTCCACAGCCGTTGAATCGGACCCTTATTCTTGGTCTCTCCATCATCGCCGCCGCCGCCTCTACTCTTTTTATTACTGGCCGGTGTTTCGGGCTCGGACGGTCGCTTTGACAAGGATCTGAACGATCTTGGAGGGGGCTTATGGAGCTTTATGGTGAATGCGGATGGAGAAGGGGATGGTTGAGTTGACTCCAAGTCCGAGTCAGTAGCCGAGTCGGATTTTTGAGGAGTTGCAGGGACGATTGATTTCTTCAGCAAGGATGATTTCTCCTCTTCCTCTTCGTCGTCATCGTCTTTTTCTTCTTCTTTGTCGTTTTGCTCATATACAACGTTGTCGTTTTCCTCGTCGGAGCTGCTTCCTTCTTCTTCTTCTTCTTCCTCTCCCTCTTCGTCAGAGGGAGGTGGGGGATTTTCGGCGAGACGCTTAGGAGGCATCTGGCGCTGAGGAGAATAACGATGGGAAGAGCAGACGTTGAATAGTGTTGAGGATAAATATATGTGTGAGGATCAGTAGGGTTTTAACTGTAAAGGCCCAATTGCCGATTGGTATTGCTTTATATAAGAACGTGAAATTGATTGGTAAAAACAAATTCTATAAATTTTTTTTTTTTTTTTTTGACAAGATAAATAAATTTTTATATTTGTTATGATAAATTTATATGTGAAATTCAGTTAAATTATATTTTGTCTATGGAATAAATTTATAATATGTCTAATATGATAAAAATTTTAACTATATAAATCTTTTAAAAAATTATTTGAAATTTTATTAAAATTAAAAGAAGTTTGATTCAACTGATCGATGCGGTTCATAGTTGATTTGTATTTAAAAACAACTTTGTTAGTTGATTAGTCTCTAGTAACTATATTTTGCAACTTTTTTATATCAACTAGGGATGATCAAATGATCCAATCGTTAGATATTTGATTCGATCCGATTTATTTAGTGGTGGATCGAATATAAATTTTTAAAATAAAATCCGCTCGGATATAGGTTGTATTTATAGTTAACAGGATCTTTCTTCTGAACTATCAAAAAAGAGCTTATCAATTCACGATTCTGCTTCATTTTTCTGGCCAATTCAATTTTTTTTCTCTCATTTTTCTAAAATTGTTCTTTGTAATTCTAGATTTAGAGTTGACTTTATTCTTCCTTTTCTTCTTCTTTTTTCATTTATATTTTAAATTTTTATCTTCAACTCTTTCATCCTTTTCCTATTTTTTTTTCAATTTTACTTTAAACAAAAGAATATGAATTGAACATTACGACTAGCATGATTTTTTCGGTACTTAACAATTTTTAAAGTTCCTTCTAATTGTCATAGTATACAATATTTCCAATTATTATTAGAAATTTTTATGTTTTCAAACACAATAAATAATATAAATTTTTATTAAATTATTTTTTATTTTTAAAATATAATAAAAAAAATAGATATATTATATCTGATCTAATACATTTGATCCAAATCTGAGTAGAGCGGATATAGACATAGATATATGAAAATTTTCGAGGATCAGATATAGATTTTGCATAATCCGATCCGAATTTGATCCGTGATCATCTTTATTTGATTTGTATTTATATTATATTTTTACTTCGTTAAATTCATAAAAATAGGTACTAAAAAATTATGTATTTTTTAAAATTAATATTATTTTATTATTTTATTTATAGTTATTTAAAAATAATATTTGTTTATCTAAAAATTTTAAGTAATATTTCTATTATCTAAAAATTTTAAGGTAATATTTCTATTTATATAATATTATTAAAATAAAATAATATAATTAATATTTATATATAAAATATTATATTCTTAAATGATCACATTACAAATTTATTTATCATTAATTGCTATCAGCTATCAATCACCACAACTTATATATAAAATATTATATTCTTAAATGATCACATTACAATTTATTTTATCAATTAATTGCTATCAGCTATCAATCACCACCACTAGTTACTATTCATCATTCGCCACCACCAGCCATCTACAGTTGACTATTAGCAACTACTATAATATATTATTTTTTATACATTTTCTCATATTAAACAATATATTTTTTTTAAATAAAAACTTTCTATATTTTTAATATCATTATAGATTTATAAATTAAAGAATTTAATATGTTTATTTCATATTCCAATAACAAAATGAGTTAATTGGAAAATATTTTCTAAAATATTTTATTTGAAAAATATTTTTGAACATATTACCTCCATTTTGTTAATTTTGACACTTTTTAACTTTTTACAATAATAAATTAAGAAAACGGTTGAATTATCTTAATTGTAAAAAAACAAAAGTAAAGGACTCATTACCTTCTCATTAATTTCATTGATTAAGAGAAATAAAATTTAATAGAGAAATCTAGACAAAAATAAAGTTGAAAAAAAATTATTAAGGCTATTTTGATCTTCTAAAAGTATTGCATAATAGAATAAGAAAAAAGACCAAAAAAAAAAAGATATTTAACTAATTGAGATAAAGTTTAATCATATAATAAACTACCCTTTAATTAATGCTCATCTAATTGAGATAAAGTTTAATCATATATTTATGTAAGGGTAAAGTTGTAAAAAAATAATCAATACTACAATTTTCTAAAAGTATCATATGGAACAAAAAAAAAAAAAAAGGTAAAAAAACTAATAGATTTAGTGGAACGGATGGATGGAGTATTTTCTAGAAATAGATGAAGTCTAAATATGAAATTGATTTATACTCTATTATATAGATAAGCATTATTGAGACAATTCTGTTTTATAGCAATAGGAATGATACTAAAAGCTGTGTTTTTATTGGATATAATGTAATATACTGTAATCAAAGATATACTGTAATTAGCACATCATCAACAATCACACCACTCTATAATCAATTCACCACCACCATCATATCCTTATTAATACAAAAAAAATATTTAAACTAAAAGCTATTAGTTCGGTGAATTACATGTCACCAATTAGTAAAACTTTATATGAGAATTTTAAATATGATATTAGAGTCATATCTACTGTAACGTCTACCATCCCATATTAATAGGGTTTGACGTATGTTCTAATCTGCTCGGTCTTCTTGTTCCACTATTTCTCTGCCACAAAAGTCTAAAATGTCTATTATTTTATATCTACCGGTGATGCACAACGAACTAAGTCATAGTTTGAAGATTCCACGAGATTATAAATTAAAAATAAGAAATATTAATACAAACACGCGCGTATGTACATACTCTCTCCACATATTACCTTAATTTTTAAGTTAGATATAAGTTTTTCTAATAATGTAACACTATATTTGTGAAATGACCCGATTTATCATTTTTTAAAGATTTTAAATTCAATTTTAATTAGAAAAATTCGAGCAATAATATCATATCTATTGTTGCCAAAATGAAATTAGTTGGGTTAAAATTCAAATCAAAAACCACTTAAATCGGGTCTGAACCGCTCAAAAACCAAGGCAAAATATTTTAAAACTTGGTTTGAACCAAACCAATCGATTTGGACCAAATCAGACTATATATATAAAGACCAAAGACAAAAAAATAAAATAAAAATACACACAGCACCGCTCTCCCCCTCCTTCCCGTTTTCGGCCATTGCTCGACGAAGAGCAAGGTGGCGATCGACTCAACTTCTGTTACTGGTCATGTTTTCAGTTTTCTTGCATGCAGAAAAGGCTTCTATTAGCGTGAATCGGGACTGCTTCCGTCAATAGCCGTTATTCCTCAATTTTTTGGCTGTCCTTATTGATTTCGATGAGACTAGGCCTCGAGATGGGTCTGGAATGACTCCTCTCCTCCAGGCGAGCTTTTCCTCTCTACCAATTCCGGTGACGAAGCTCGGATGCCGGAACCGCCAGGGATGGCAGTGGCAAAGCTAGTGTTGGGGCCATTTCCGACCAAATGAGACACACGCAGTCTAAATTGTTCACGAATTCCGAATCCCCACGAGATTTCGAGTATTTTAGTGTATGTGTTGCTCAGTTCCAGCAATAGTGGTGATGCGTAAAATACGAACAGTTCGATTTGTAAAGGAAATTGTACTGAATTTATAGCAAAAAATACCTATAAAATAAAAAGACTAAAAAAAAAATACCTATAAAAGAAAAAGACTAAAAGTAAAATAAATTAGCTGTGTCATTAATGGATGCTAACAACTCAATACTATTATTATTATAAAACACTACTTACCAAGAGATTATAAGATTTATTGAAGTTTATATATTAAAGTAAATAAGTAAATAAAATAATAGTAGATATATAATTTGATAAGTTAAGACCAATTACTATATTAGCCAAAATTGATAAATGAATGAGAATTAAATTTCTCAAATTAAAATTCTTACTTAAAATTTTCTTTCTAGATGCTTATAAAGTTCTAGAATGACAAGGCAAAAGTTGAAAGGGATATTGTAATAAAGATAGTCATGTTAAGGATGATAACGTTCTGTTAGTAAAGTTAGATAATCCACATTGCTCATGCATTTTATATTCATGCATAAATGAATAATATGATATCCACATAAAGCACGCATACATTTAGAAATACCATATAAGCATCTATGCTATGAGCTGCATTAAATATATATACTTATATATTGAAGTATATGAAGATGTTGGATATTATACACTGTGTGAATGATATGAAATTTTGTGATTAGATATTATTTATTTATGGAGTGCCATGGAGTTAGAATGATGTGAATCACCCAGGGATGAAAGCACAGGTATGGTGAGAATACTGTTGGCAGGCCATAAGCGAATGGAGTGGCACCCTAGTGCACTTTATGATTTTATGCGGATCAATGATAAAAGAAAAAAAGAAAAAGAAAAAGAAAAAGAAAGAAAAGTGACAAAGGGAAAAGAAAAGGGAAATAAGGAGAATTACATGGATGAGATTCGTCAAACCCGAATGGGGGTAGGGCTCTCTGAGTGCACTTGACACAAGGATCATATAATTTTTTTTCGGAAATTATTATAAAGATGCTCTAGGTTGAGCATGATCCTTGTTATAGCGGGTGATTCCATGGACTATTGTCCACTGTCTAATTACTTGAAATTTTGTGATCTATTTGTTAAATGTGAAATTCATGCTTGCATGTTCATTCATAATTAGCTGGAGGGCTACCAATTATATAATATGATTACCATACGTGTGATTATTGTGGAGTGAGAGGGTTATCTAATCCTACTCATTAAGTTTGGCGCTCACCCATGCCTCCTTATTTTTTTGTCAAGTATTAGAAGGAAAAAAGAATCCTATGAATCCAACTGAGTTGAAGTACAGATAAAGAAAAACAACAATAGATGTATAAAGCATATTAATGTAAAAGATTGTAATTTTATTGAATTCCACAATTATATTCTAGATGGGTTATAATTGAATAATTTGGACATATGTATTAATTATATAAATTGTATTTTCGATTCGTCTGAGAAGTATCGGATTGGCCATTGATTATGAGAATATGGTTATTGTGCCTAGGACATGACTGTAAACATAATG